ACTGCGGCCTTCCAACTTGGGCTATAACTCTCAGCTTTGAGGAAAAGTGGGTCAAATCCGTGAAGAAAACGTTCGCCAGCGTATTTTGGATGTACTGCCCGCAACAAAGCGAATGCCAATAGCTTCAAGTACACGACAATAGCTAAATAATCACCATTTGTGCATTGCGTTTATCTTAAATCCTACGTTAAAAAATTCATACACGGCCCTGACAAAAACGGAGTCCCATGGCCAGTGACAGCAGTTGCTAGACCCCACCACACATGGGTAGGTTACGTTGCAAATATTGTGAAGTGCCTCAACGGACAACATGCATTGAAGAATGTTGCGTCAGATGTGATACGACACCACAGAAAACAGCACGGAACACTACGCCAGGGCCTTTACTTTCATGGTTTCGTCACGATCATGTCTGGTGCCGGAGGAGCGCTGCATTGAAGAACCACCAATCAACACACGAGAGGTACAACATAACATCGAATGCTGCATGAAATTAACACTCTTATGTTTCTAGCTTAACACTTGTATGCTCTAGAAGCGGTATCTTTCGTTCAGCTCTGGCCGAGGTCGCGGCCGTAAAGCGGCCGATGGCGACTCGCCCCAGTGCTCGGCAGTACGAAACAGGACGGAGCGCTGAGTCGAAGCCAGCCTGCAGCTAGGCAGATGTAGATTAGGAACAAAAGATGCGCGCTTCACATGAGACGAATCATCGGTCCGACGACGGAATATTGATCGGATTCCACGGGGGGCTGTTAACCAACTTTAAACACCTTTAGAGCATTTTCGCTCAGAACCGAGCGATCAATCTTGAGGCAGCCAACGCACGTAAGCCTTGAAGGTTGGCTCCGACGTACACCGGTCCCAGTTCAGACTACCGGCTGAAAGCCTATCCATTTCAAGTGTGTATTTGCGCGTTGTTTCTCTCGTGGGTCGTGAGGGGCCATTGCAAGCCTGCGGAAGACAGAGCCACCTTGTGTGATTGGGGGCGACCAGACGGGTTTATTGGGAGGCGGTTCACTGGCGATAACACGGGTTTCGCCTCAGATTTACCTCGGCGTCTAAGAGTGCATGCACAATAATCCTTCCTCTCGTCAGGATCGACATCGAGGTTGCCTGTAATGCGGTTAGCTGGAAATTTGCTGGGAAAGGTTTGTGGAAACGAACTTCCTTGATGCTATTATAAAATGGCTTGACTTATCTTACGTAAGATCCTAGTTGAGTCACGTATAAAATGAAAACGGTACAATGCATTTAAAAAACACTGAAAAGAAACTAACTTACAGTCTTGCAGACCGACCAATCTTTTTGGTTCTTCCCATTTCTTAACGTGACCATATTTTTTTAAAGAAGAACTCGTTATGGCAATATCAAGGCTAAGAGAACCCAACAAGGAGTAGAGGCGTTTCACATTACGCAGCCGACACGTTGTGTTTCTTTGACATTACTGTGTACAGCTGCGATGCACTTTAACGTGCCCGGGCATTCGCAAAATGTTTCAGTCTAAAACTGAACAAAGACAAAACGAAATCCTCCTTGGTTGGTGCTGCTGCTGAAGAAAATGATCCTTTTCGCTGAGATCTTGATGTTAATTGGATAAAATGCTCAACTTACTTGAGATAGATTTCTCGAATTACGAAGTCATTGCCTCTGCTGACAACCCTGATTCTAAGCTGCATCACATGAAAGTCATATTCCGGCACTGGAAGCGTCGTTTTTGGATGCTAATAGTGAAACAATTCTCAATAAACGGATCAATTCCTTCAACTTTACAAACCTGTCCACATCTCTGTTAAATTCGTGCTTTCATTCGATACCTAAAGCGTAGATAGTTTGCTTTCATATGGGATGGTAACGTTGGCAGAATAAAAGGAAATGGCATGCATAAGCCGCATGCAGAAGGATATTGATCCATACTGGATGCTGAGTTGTACATTACAGCGTTGAAGATTTCGTGGATAAAAAGCCAAATAATCCCGACTCGCATAAGGAGGCAATCATTTCATGTTAGAACAGCTTGTGAAACTTTTTGTGGCGGTGGAGCACTAAATTAATTCGAAAAATTGCGAGGGAGGCAACAAACTAAAAAATCGACTTGGAAAGAGAGGTCACAGACAAGTGCACTTCTAGCATCGACTAGCAGGGCAGGATTTATGAACCCAGGCCATTGAGGCTTGTGGTATTCCAACGAAATGAAATAAAGAACTGACATGGCAGCATGGAATAATACAGATTTATAAAACATTAGCGAGCTGCCGACGATACAGCACAAGTTCTCACGTTGGCCAAATTTCGAGGTGAGTTCGGTGTGCGCACCACATACATCGATTGCATAAGCCGCGTTGAGTCTCGCGAGAAACTGGCACTTACAAAATAATGTCCAGAAAGAGCCAGAGCCCATTGTTCATACATGGATAACAGATTCTCTGCGAAGGAAACCTCATGCTAAGCATCCTTACCATTCCATATTAAACTTGGCGGTGTAACCTTGTACACAGTGTATACATCCCTGTACATCGCTACACGGTCTATGCAACTGCACATTACGCATCATCAAAATATCTCAAAATACACAAACATTACTCTATACAAGATGAGAGTGACGCAAACATAAATGTGTAAAAGGTGCAACAGATATCGGGAAGCATTCGCGCTGTGAATTTTGCCAAGGTCGATACATTGCGATGCTCCTGCTTATTGGCTAAATTCGTTGAATATAATTGATGGGCATGTGGTTGGAGCGGTAACAGTACCTCTTGCTGGCTATTTCTGATAATAGTTTGGTTGTGCATGTAATTACTGCGTGTAAACTTATTGGTCAAAAAACACAGATCAAATATGAAATACCTTAAAAATATGCTCAGTGTTGAAAAGAAACAGAGAGAGAGAGGTATGGTACAATACGAAATGGCTCCCGAGACAAATGCAACGCAAAGTGGAACGCACTTAAAAATAAAAGAAAAATGGTTTCCTTTAAAGCTACGAGACACAAAGTGAGCGCCCTTCATTGGATAGTGGCGTGCACTAGATTTGCTATGTGGCAGCACATGACTGGATACGGTTGTGTAAAAGTAGGGCGTAGATATTCCTTGGTATTATGCGTGCCGTGCCGCTTTTAAAATGTCTTAGCTGTTCATCTTATTCAGAAAGACAGAACCGGGTAAAAATGATGTGGTGTGAGAACAATTACTCCAAGCGTGGGCGGGGATTATACTACGCTGAACATGATCGAGTTCTAAAATGTGTGACTGGGTGCTGCAAGTGGTCTTGTTGGTGATACAAGGCATGTGAATACAATACCGGAATTGAAAAAAGGAAGAACGGACAACGTGGATCCAAGCAGATTAAACCCAGTCTCTTAACCCGATTGGTTCGGCCACGTCTCGGCAATGGACTGCAAAAATATGCCTAAAAGAAAGCTTTTCGAACGGATCAACAGTACAATACTTCAGAAATCTGGCAGCAAATGATTCCTAGGGCCAAGAGGAAAAATGATGTAAAACCTGCAAGCCTGAAAAGTGATGTAAACCCTCCGACAAGGATCGAAATTTGCAGGCTGCAGGCTTTATAACTCACAGAAAGAGTTCCTGGAAATTTTTCAGAGCTTTCTTTTTGTTTCATAGAAGTTTTTTTCTACAGCATGCAACGATATGTCCCGGTTTTTGATGGCATTGCTAATGTCAGTAATGCCACTGGAGAGGCAAATATTCGCGGACAAAATATTATCGCCATCCTTACTTTCACGTAGCTTTCATACAGCAGTACACAAACAGCACGATTGTGGTTGTGGGATGGGACGTGATGGTGGTAAGAGAGAAATGTGGATCATTTCAAAGCTACCAGGTGGTTTTAATGTGGTGTGGTTGCATGATGCGTCCACTTGAGGAAAGCAAACACCATAGAGGAGGCTGGCTCCGGTTCTTCAATGAGAAATTTGATATTGTGGCAATTGTGAAGTAGTCGAATGATGATTGAGCTAATGTTCGTTGTAATGAACCGTCACTTCCCACGACTTGAAGAATCCAGTATTTCTATCCAATCAGTGCAATGCTATCCGTTAATGTACATAATTTTAGAGGAAATAGCCTGTCGTCTATTGAGACGAGGTAGGTGGGTGAAATATGTGGTGCATTTTGGTGAGAAGAAAATTTATTATCTACCCTCTTTCTTCTTGTTTGTGGTTGAAAGCTGCCGTCAGTGTTCAATATATACTTAAGTGCATCATAACTTCCACTGTGTACATGCCGCGATGGCTATTCCATGAGCAACATCACGGATGTTAGCCAAACAGTGCTTTGCATTAGATGACACTTTCATACCATGTTGTGCAGTTTTAGGATGTAAGTCTAAAATTAAGGTGAAATGACAATATGCACATTGCAATAAATTAGTGCTTGCGGATAAGTGGCGGATCAGTATTGTAGCATACCGGAGTTTTGCAAGTTGGATCACTAGCCACGCGGGGCGGACTAGGCGCGGGCTGATATTTTTGAGGAAGTTGCGTCTCTGGTGCGAACTCACGCAAGCGCTGCGCGGCGAAGTTAGTTCATATTGTCATAGCGTACTCATTGTATCTTGTGTTGACAGGCTAGTGCTATTGTCATTACGCACGCTGGTTCTTTTAGTTCTTTTTACACAGTCGAAGAAACGCCAACTTAAGATGCGCCCAAAATGTAACAACGTCATGTTCAGAGAAAACCACGTGGCCACGCCCCTGCCACCGATCAGCTCAGAGCATGAATTGTCACATGTGGGAAAAATAACCCACACGCATGCTACGAAAGCATGATATCATCTGTACCCATGTGGCGACGCTGGCGCATGGGCGACTAGATACCTAGTGTAATGAGTCGCAGCTTTCCATTCTCTTGGGCTCCCCCCACACTTTGAGACAAGGTGAGACAACACAGTTTTCGGAGTATTTTGGAGGGGGGTATACCAAACCCGACGTGTTTGGTCGCAAGCGTCGCCTCGTAAGCTCGCGCTCACACTCGGCGTCTCACCGGAGGTTCATCAGCGGGTCCTCGTGGTTGCCCCTGTTAAGGTAGACTTCGTGCGGGTTGACGACCACGCAGGCCAGCAGGATCAGCAACACCTCCACCGACTTCTTACCCCGGTCCACGAAGTCGCCGTTGAACACGTACGGGTTGTCGCTCGATGGAATGCCGTTCTGGGGAGGTGCGCCGCGTAGTGAGACGTGAGAACAAAACACCTGTGCCCCCACACCAGCCGGTAGCACAACGTGACGTCACGTGACGTAGGTGGATGCAGGTCGCGTTGACAGTTTCATGTACCTTGCAAACAGCATTAG